CCCTATGGATGAGGTCAGTAAAATTTTAACCCCTAAGAAAAAAATATCAAAATGCCGACACAAAACACCCCTCAGAAATTTCTAAATTTTCCCCTTACCCCTCAGAAAAATTGTAGAGATCAAAGGATGCCGACAGGCTAGAAACGACTTTTTGAGTCACCCTTCAGAAAAACTCATCCATAGGGGGGGTGTGGACATTAAATGGAATGGCCCAACAGTAAATAAAACATGTCAGGTTTATAGCCATTAAATGCCATTTTAACATTGACTTTGGTCCCGGGGTTAAAATCTCCAACATATTGGCGTGAACTATTGTTTATGTTGGATTATCTACGGAGTACTTTACATGGAATGGGCTATTCCATTTAATATCCGTACACCCCCTGTCGAGGATACATGTTTTTCATGGTTATACCCCTGAAGAATTCCAAGCTCAAAACCTTTTACCCCTGAAGAATTCCAAAATTCCAAGTTCAAAACTCCTTACCCCTGAAGAATTCCAAGCTCAAAACCTTTTAACCCTGAAGAATTCCAAGCTCAAAACCCTTCACCCCTGAAGAATTCCAAACTCAAAACACTTTACCCCTGAAGAATTCCAAGCTCAAAACACTTTACCCCTGAAGAATTCCAGGGATCCTCGACAGGGAGTTGGGTACGGATATTAAATGGAATAGCCCAATGCACCCTGGCCAGTTGGTCTGAACAAAGTTATCAGCCGAAGCATAAAACGTCAATTACAAATTGTTTAATATCTTATATGGCATGCTGCTTATTAAACCTACCTATTCACTCAAAAACGTAAATAATTGTTTTAGTACTGTAGTAAGTGACTATTTTATACTGAAAAATCAAAATTACTTTGTAATATTTAGAGTATAGACAGACAGTGTAGTGTGTTGTGTTCTGACGCTCGCTTGGCTCTGATTTTCGACGGTGAAAATGTCAAATTATTTACCTGCGATTTAGTTTCTTTCAACATCCAAATGTTCTTCATTCTTCTATGATGTGTGCTTGTTCTCGAAATACCAGATTTGACTTGATTTCTTCGCATACTTATCGAGTATAAGGCGAAAACTCGGAAAAATATCAGTTTTACAATAGAAATCTACTGTCAAAATGTTTATTAGTGATGGGCGATACCGAGTACTCGGTATTCGATACCAGCGATACCACAAACAGCGGTATCGGTATCGATTACTGACGTGGTATCGTTCGATACTTGCACCCTTTTTTAAACGACTTGTTTAATTTCACTTCTTGGTTGAATAAGACTTAATGAACCACTAAAATAACTCTTAATATTCCAAATGTGGTGCGCCAAGTCATGTATAGAAAATATTTATTACGTTTCGAGCTTTTGGTATATAGCTTTATTTTAATAGGTTACAGACAGTAATGAAAGATGTTTTTCCGCTGACCGGCAGGTATCGAAAGTAGGAGATACTAGCAATTTAAGTACTCACTTCCGGTATCGAAAATTGAAATTTTATGTTTATTTTGGTATCGAAATAGGTATCGGTATCGGCCGATACTGATCTTAAAAGTATCGGTATCGGTATCGAATTAAAAATCCTGGTATCGCCCATCACTAATGTTTATAATTATATCAGTGGAAGCACAAGCTATGCGCGCAATGCCACATGGGATACTGTGATAGCGCTAGGCCGATAAAAAATTCATTTTCATTTCATTTTTGAAAAAAAAAGCAATTTATTTTGAAAAAACTTTTTTTTGTTATTTTCCCTTGAATTATATTTTAAAATTGTATTACATTTCAAATTAATTTTGATAGCGATAGGCCGATAAAATTTATATTCATTTTAATTTTGATTTTGATTTTATTTTCATTTTGATTTTGATTTTATTTTCATTTTTATTTTGATTTTAGTTTCATTTTGAGTTTGATTTTATTTTCATTTTCATTTTGTTTTTATTTTATTTTATATAATAACAAAAAAATGAATGATAGCGATCGGCCACCATAATGCAGTCTCAGAGTGCCCTCTATGGTTGAAAGTAAATTAACCTGCCTTAGAATACATAGTTTAGCGATAAGCCTCTACGTTCGTCGTAATAGTATAGAGGGTAATATAACGTGGTGCGGCAAGAATTGTGTCTCTTCCACAAAAATCAACTCGCAAGCTCGCTGTAATTGCATGCATCTAATCAAAATAAACTGTATAGGCATATGTTACTGGATTAAAGCGCTCGCAGCGAGCTTGCGAGTTGGCTTTTACAGTGAAAAGAAAAGAAAGAAACGTTAATGAATGTGATATTTCTACAAGGTTTTCATGTGCTAGTTTTGTTCCAAATGCACAGGCAAAAAATCACGCATCTTGTCAACAACATGTGTTCGAAAAGTATGTAGCAAACATGTCACCAAAATTGTAACAATGTTATAATTTTTTCAAGTAGCTGGAGGGTTGTCGCTAAAAACTTGTTGACAAGTTGTTGAATTGCAGCTCGATGGTAAATTGTCAATGACCTATACTATACAGTATATATTAATAACTTTTCAACAAAGTGAGAAAACCAGTCCGAACACATTCGACATGTTTTTGAAACAGTATTTGTGTGCGTGCATGTACGCGTGCATATACCCCTATATATATTAAAAACGGAAAATGGTATATAATGTGCTAGGGATTTCTGTCGCAAGGAAAGCACTGCCTCAAGCGCGGACGTTTACCAGGGGCTACTGAAGAATGGCGTGAGTTATTGAGGGTCACGAAATTTTTTTTCTGACCACTTTAAGATGGTCAAAGTGTCTTAAAAAAACATAATATTAATACTGCAATGTGCGATTACCATTACTACGTATGACTGCCACACAATGTTCCTGTACTTCTGTCAGTATTTTGTTTCTCATGCTTGTCTGTTTTATATCAAAACTTTTAGAAGCAAAACGAAAGCTCCCACACGAAGAAAATTGCCGTGCGCGAAAGATCCCGAGGTTAGCAAAGGATGTTGGTAAGTAATCTTTTCTGATCTTTTTATAGGATTAGAGTTTTACTTCTATATTTTGATCTCATAAAAATGATATTTTTTGTTCCGATTTTGATCGACTTTTTCAGTTTAGGTGGGTAGAGCTGCTCTCGATTGATCGATTAATTGATTATTTCTAGTAATCGATAATTCTTAGCAATAATATAGAACCACAAACCAGCTGTGGCTGTTTACATGGAGAGTTTTAAGCTGGGGCTGAAATTTCAGCCCAGCCTATAAGATCGATAAAATCATGTTAAAACACAGCAAGTGATTTCCTGAAATTTCAGCCTGGTTGAAACTACCATGAAGGGTGAAAATTTTATCCCGGTAGACCAGGCTGTTCAAAAGTCGTCATGTAATCAACAGGAAATTTCAGCCCGCGGTGTTGAAAAAACAATCTCTTACGTGGCGTTATTTTTGCCTATATACTGACAATATACTGTTTTTGACTGTACTAAATCAAATAATTGACATAGACAACATTTTAAATTCTTCAAAGAAGCAGAATAGCTCTATTTGGAGACTTGGCTGTTTCAGCCCAGGTTGAGATTTTATCCCGGTTTGAGCTGAAATTTGAACTCAGTTTAGGCCGAAACTTGCCACGTAATCGGAAAACAATTTTAGCTCTGTGTGACAACTCTATATGTAATCAGCCCCTTTCCCATTGAAAAAAATATAAGGAGGTGGTATTGTCGATATGAGGAAATAACAAATATTAATTATTAATTCATCATATACTGTACACCAATATTGAAAAGGGCTTATTAAAGATGTGGTAATAATTTTCACATTATCAAACAACAGGAAAGCGCTGAGTGTTGTTCGTTGAAATGTGAATAAGATTACATTTTTCGTCTTGAACACAATTTAATATCGTGTTTGTTATATCATTTTTATAGCGGTCACAAATGAACAAAGTGATTCACTATCGTTCTTTCAAAAGGTCACAAAATTTGTTGGGAGTTTTTGGCCCAGTTCGTTCAAAGAGAACAATCCCTTGGATAACAACACAACTACTGGTGAAAGGAAAAACGGACCCAACTCGCACTCTTCTATTAACAAGTCAAGAATTTCAAGTGCTGTTAGAAGTACGTATTATACATGCACTTTACCGCTTTTAATAAAACTTTAATTTGAGAAAGGTGTAGGAAATATTGCATGGACATGCGAATACAAACTTAATTATAACTGGCCAATTTGTTAAAATATTTCAACCAATGGAAATTGGGTAGTATCCTCCAATTCTAAAACTTAATTCTTCCGAAATAATGCAGTAGACTAAAATGCTTATAATGAATTACTCCCTGCATGTGCTTGAATTTGGGATTCCAGTCCGCCCTCTATACCTATTGACCTGTCGAGCCAACAGAGATTACATGCGAGGTTTACTCGTTTTAATTGCGTGAAATATTGAAATCGCTTTCCATGCGAGGATGTACATTAGAGCTGTGCGACGGAGTACAGGAGCCGGAGCTCTGGCATATTTTGCTGGAGCCGGAGTTGGGAAACTCCGGTAGACATAATTATGAAAAATTATTTCATATCTCATTCAACTCTATGAACTTTTGGTAATGGAAAAATTAAGTTGAATGATTTGAAGTTACCATAAAGTTTAATTACTTGTTCAAATCCGATTCGTGGCTTCGAAAATTCTGCAAGCGCATTGCTATCGCTTTTGATACAAAAATCCGCTGACCCCGATGTATTTTGGGCGAAAATACCACGCTGCCATGCGGTGTTACGTGGTAAATAACCTTTTCAACGGGGGGTCGAATACAGAAGAGTTATTCCGAAATACAGTAGAATTATTTCTCCTAAAATATAATAGCTCAAGGCCAGAACTGTTTATAAAGTCTCGTAGGATACTGTAAGAGGCGAAAATAGAATCCGTACATTTCTGATTCTTTGTAGGTGCCACTAGATCCAGTCCTCGCCGACGTCGTCAACGTCATCGTACAACGAACAACGATAGTCGAATGTTACAGCAACTTCATGTTACATCTCCGTTACGACGTAGTCCTAGAGTTGTCACACTCCATTCGCCTAAGAAGGTACATATATCTTTGAGTTGCCTCGCATTGCGCTTTTGTGAATAATTTTGAAATCTGGGCACTTCAAGTCAAATAGAAATATATAATTACTAGGAGAGACGAACAGAAATGAGGCTGAAAGTATTCGACTTCTTAAAAATTCCATTTTGAAAACCAGAGGGCACTTGGAGTTATTTATCATGCATAAATTATACCATGGGCTAACGCATTCAGTTCACTCTGCCTGCTACTGTCATCCAAATTGAACCATGTATGTGTACGTACATGTACGTTTCTAATTTGCTGATGCCGTATACAAAGGTTAGACACTAAGGTCTTACCATTTTATATTACTAGAAAATACATGCATGCAGAAACCCTCGCCTTGCTGACAAAACCATTGCATTTTCCGAACATGAAGTATCTAAAGTAGTTGTCATGGTAACACGATAATTTTTAAGAATATTCTTTATACAAATGAAAAATCGCCTAAAAATATCACTTTTAATTACAAAATTATCAATTTCCCAAGATATATATGTTAGGTATGTTATTATACGTAATATAAGCTTCAGTTTAAGGTAAAATTCAACCACAAACGCTTCGCAAAACGTTTTAAAGTGTTCTTTATAAAACTGACTAAACAGCCCGCTTTAATTAAATGGCTTTATCGATAAACTTTGAGTTTGCAATAAAATGATTTCAAATTCTCGCTTGCAAATGACTTTGCTTTCTTTTTTATTTAAAAAATTCAATATAATAAAAAGGGAATCAATATTATTAGTCGCTGGGCAGAGCCCGCAGCGACTCCAGGTTTCGGCTCGCATTTGTGTCGGATCTTGGATCGTTAGCCACAAAATGACAATTACGTCATTAATAAAAAATAAAAATTACGTCATTACTATTCGTCGCTGAATTCAAGATGGCCGCTTACTACGAGCGAATGGTATCATCGATTTTGTACATTTTTTTCGTTTTCCGATGAACCTTAAAAGTTTTCCGATGAAACAGACTTTATAAAGCGAAAGTAATTTTATGTAAACTTGGAAGGCTACAAGCTTGAAATAGAAGACAAAAGTTCACAATTTTCAATTTTACAAAGTTGGAACGGGCCGCAACCTTTGTAAATCGCAGCAATAATATTCGTAAACTGCTGTTTATTTGGGTGCTTTTTTTACGGCTGTTGATGCAAATAATCCTGTTACGGATAGGCGGTCAAAAGAACATGGTGTAGCCTAACAAGACCGAAATACAACCACAGTGATCACCATTCATCACTACTTGTGTGAAATTTAAACTTTGCCGCTAGGTGTCAGGCTTTTAAATCTGTAATATTTCAGTCATTTTATGATCAATGTATTGTGTTTCTAACGCCGAACGGGAAAATGTTGGAGCCACAGTAATAGACTCTTTCAAGGTCAAGATGCCATAATGAGACACAAAGTGTAAGGGCTGCAAACACAATGGAATTTCCTACTACAATCACTTTCAGAAGTTGTTGGAACACATGCAGTTTTAGCTTGTAAGTGGATAATTATAGTTTTTTACACACAATACCGCTCCCTTCCCCCTCCCCCCACCCCAATCAATGTTGTTTAAACCAAAACACATCAAACCCGACGGGAAATGGGACACAACATTGAACAGGGGGCGGGGGGATTGTCGTTTGTTGAAATTCAAAGGTTTTGTGGCATCTGTCCCAAGACTTTTGAAACTGATTGTAGTAAATTTGCAAGATTGTATAAACACAATGGTGAAAACAATGTATTGAAATTAAGTAGGGGGGTGGGGGGCAATGCAACTCAATGGGTTCTCAAAAGTAACTAGCATGTCAGGCTCTATGCTTGAAATAAAGCCTGCTACTGAGGTCAGTAAAAAGGATTGATGCACATGATTCGTACGCAAAATTCCCATTGGTCAGAAATAAATAGCTTTGTTTTTAAAAGGTAATGCCAAATTGTTGTTTATGTAATGATATTCCGTAATAAAAGTAATAAATTATGAATTGTTATAAATGTTCTGTGAAGTGCACATATTTTTCCTGCAGTTAGGGACCGGTCCTTATTTATGGAAGAGGGAGGGGGGGGGGGGGGA